CCCCCCCCCCCCCCCCCGCGCCACTAGTGGGTTGCGGGCCCTGCCTGAAAGACACGTCTACGAGCATCGTTAGCCCTGTTGGCAGGGCCGCACTGGTCCCGGGTCCTGGGGCGCGGGGGGGGTGACGCCCGCCCGGACAGATGTCCAAGGTGGCCCCCTCTTCCAGCCGGGTTCACTGGCACCGCGGACGGGGGCGCTCGCGTTGGAACGGCCACCGCTCCAAGCCGCCATCATTATTCCCACGCTCCGGGCCTCTCCACTACCCCGCCACCCGCCCACACATACATGCACGGTGAAACCCCCGGGGCAGGGGAACTTGGGGAGAAGGACAACAGGAAGAAGGCGTGTGTGGCGCATCCCTCCGTGCATGAGATTTCTATTGTCGGGGAATGCGCAGGCCAGATGGCGACACACACGACCGGGGAGGGGGGGGACACAACATACAAGGGGGAAGCGGCCCGCGAAAAGGCCGCAAGTGCCAACGATCGCCGGGCGCCGGGGAGCCCCACGAAAGCCGGCCCTATTGTCTCAGCCGGTGTCCATTGTCGAGGACCGACACTCGCGCACAGCCGCCTCGCCCTCTCAACGCCCCTCCACCAGGAAGTGAGGGAGGGGGGGGGGGGGGGGGGGGGGCTCTCGAACGCGCGGGCGCTTAGGGGGAGGAGAATCTAAGGGGGATTCACCAGACAACCGTGGAGGAGAGAGACCTAGATCTGAGGGCCAAGGCAAGGGGGAGGGGAGGGGAGGGGAGGGGGGGGTCAGGAGGAGCGTATTACACCAGGGGAGCTTGCCCTTGCGTTGCTTCCACATGCCGGGTCGGAGGAGGAGAAGGAAGGGTAAGATGGAACACTCGCCCGGGGGGCTTTCGCCGAAGGGACGGAGACACCGAACAGAAACACTGATCGTGATATTGAGAAGGGGAAGGAGGAGGAGGAGGAGGAGGAGGAGGAGGAGGAGGAGGAGGAGGCGGGGAAATGGATGGGAACAGGGCAGAAGAGTGGAAGGCGCGAAGGGCAAGGGGAGGAGCAAAGCACCAGTATCGCTGCCGCTGCCACTACACCGCGAGTGGGCACACATGGGTGTGGGGGGGGGATGCACACATGTGCCGTGTGTGCCCGTGAGAGAGAGAGAGAGAGAGAGAGAAGGGCACGAAAGAATGGTAGCCTGAGAGCGCGCGCGCGCACGCGCGTGGCAAGGACGAGGGAGAAAGACCACCAGCTGGCGGCCATCCCCCTCCTCGCCCCCCGCGCCTCCGTCCTCCCCCTCCCCGGCCGGTGTATCTTGTACATGTTGCATGAGGGGGGGGATTGGGTATTTTAAGAGAGATGCGTGCGCGACAAGACTGGGACGCTGCACATCGCCCACATTGGGGGAGGGGGGGAGGAGAGGAAGGGAAGAAGGGACAGGGGGAGGACGAGAAGAGATCAGGAGGGTACTGATCCCGCCTGGGGAGAGGAAAGGAAGGAGGATGGAGGGGAAGGTGGAGATACGTGGGGGAGCGCGTGTTGCTACTCTGCACGCGCTGAGGAACTAGTTGGCGCGTGCCGTGCCCATGCGCACGAAATGTGAAGAGAGAGGGGGGGAAGGGAGGGGGGAGGCAGATGCAAAGACGATGGTCGTGGTGGTGATGATGCTAGCAGCAGCAGCAGCAGCAGCAGCAGCAGCAGAAGGAGGGAGGGAAAGATGAGGAGCAGGCAGCAATGGAGAAAAACTTGGACAAGGGATGGGGGCCGATGGCCGGAAGGGGGGAACTGTCGTGGGGAAGCACGGAGGGCATCGGCCCCGACCCCGAGGCAGGAGGAAGGGGGGAGCGGCACATCCAGGAGCTCACCGTAATATAGAGGAGTGCAGTGTCTGAACACGCGACAAGTTCGCCACCCCCCCACACACACACCAGCTCACCATCCCTCTCGTGTGTCGAGGACCCAAGTCTCTGCTTTTCACACTGCCTTGCGCTTGGCTCTCACCTCATCAGTCTCACACGGCCACATGTGTGTGGGGGGGGGATACACAAGTGCGGGCACATGCACACACATGCACACACATGCACACACATGCACACACATGCACACACATGCACACACATGCACACACATGCACACACATCCATACATCCATCTCCGAGGAAGACCAGCCGTTGCCGCTGCCGACGTTACAAGAGCCCCCAAAAGTGGTCTTCCCTGCTTGAATCAGAGAACAGTCCCAAAGACGAATGACAAGGCTGACCGCGTCAGTGCCATGGCCGTGTACAGCACGATCAGCACCAGAGGCACGGCCAGCAAGCTGGGAGACCAAAGGTCCCTGAAGGCTATCGCCACACCGGGCCCGGTGCCGGAGGGGGCTGACGACACCAGCGGCGAGTCATCCTCTTCAGCCGGGGTCACCAGCGGCGAGAGGCTGGGCTGGAGAACTGGCGACTGTACACGCGGCGGCGCACGTGCATATGTTTGTGCGTGTGTGCATGTGCGTGTGCGTGTGCGTGTGCGTGTGCGTGTGCGTGTGTGCATGGCGGATGCATGATGTGTAATGTCGGTAAGAACACGCTGGATGGCGAGGAGGATGCAGCGAGAGACAGGGAGGCAGAAACCTGGGAGGGGGAGAGGGGGGAAGAGGGGGAGAGGGGGGAAGAGGGGGAGGGGGTTGACACAAATACTATAGAAAAGGGGGATATAGGACAACGGGGCACACTCGAGGAGGATGGAAGGCGAGGGGGGAGAGGTGAAGAGAGAGAGAGAGAGAGGAGGGGATGTTCGCGCGGAAGCCCATCTCCACAAACAGACAACAGACACAAGGATACACTCAGAATAGGAGGGCCCCCCCCCCCCCTCCCCCTCCCGGCCCCGACAATGGTTGGACCGCCAGGAGAAGGAAGGAAGGTATTCGCACAAACACGAGAACGCGCGAAGGGACATGAACGAAGGAAAAAAGGGAGACACTCATCAAAAACAAGGAGGGCGCTCTCCCGGCAGTGAAAGCAACGAGATCTGGCAGAAGGAGACGTACACTACGGCCCTTCTGCTTGAGGAGGGCAGCGGCACTAATCTTGGGCTTGGTCCTGGAGGTGGTGGTGGTGGGAGTCTGCGCAGGGGCCACTGTCGAAGAGACGCCCGTATCCACATGGCCAGTGGAGGCGGAGGGGGCGGAGGAGGTTGGTGAGGAGGAAGTGGGCACGTCGTCTCCAGGCTCGGCGACAGGCGGCTGCTCTTCGGCCTCCTGGGAGGGCTGCGACTCGGCCGCGGCCGGGGGCAATGCAGATGCGCTGGCAGAGCCGGCGGTCTTCTTGGGCAGGGAAAGCAGCGCAAGGCACTTTTGCTCCAGCTCCTTGAGAGCCGCGGGGGACATGTCCACCGGCGGCAAGCGACCCGACTGGATGTCGCTCTTCACCTGGGGAAATTGACCTATGGCGGTTGTGGTGTCAATTAGGGCCGGCAGGAAAGCTGGCATCGGCACAGGAGGAGGAGCGGGGAGGGGGGGGGGAGGAGGAGATGGGAAGCGGGCAAGAGGCGATGCGACATCAACCGCGAAAGAATCCACGGCCAAGCGCGAGGGGGGAAGACATAGCACGTACTGCAGAACCGAGGGTTCGAGAGGCAGTGGCTATGCGACGCGGCAGCCAGCTTTCGACGCTCGAGGAAGCTCGTCGGGGGGTGAATACTCCCCTGCGTGGGGGTCTCCTCAAGCATGAAGGACTGGATGCCAAGGAGGATGGAGGACACCGTCCACGAGGCAGACCAGGTCTTGGCTGTGGGTATATGGATGGGAAGGATGGTAAGTGGGTCGGCAGTGCATCATTCAGGCCCGCGAGGAAGAGGCAGGGGAAGCTCATTTTGGGCGAGACAATCAGAGCCGATGATGAGGGAACCGCCCCATATTACAGGGGGCGGGGGGAGGGGTAGTAACATGGTGGCCCCGGAGAGGGGGCAGGGGGGAGGGAGATAGCAGGTACGTACGATGGAAGTCACTCATCGACAGGCAAAGGCGCGTATTGGTCTCAAAGCGGCCTACAGAGACAGAGCCACCAAACCACCGGACGGGACCACCAGTTAGAAAGGCGAGGGGGGAGGGATTCGTGGGGAGAGACGAGGGGGGGGGGGGGGGGGGGGGGGGGGGGGCATGGCCTGGGGGGGGGGGATGCGAGCAGCCCCCTTTCAGAGAGACAGGGGGCGCGAGGGGAGGAGCGAAGAAATACATCCACAAACAACATACCGCTGGGAGTGATCATCAGGATGCTCGGTGGCGAGAAGGGGAAGTTGTTTGGGAAAACAATCTTCCCATGGTAAACCCCCCCGAAGTAGGGCGAGTCCGGCGGGCCAATCAGGCAATAATCCCTGTTTGAGTGCCCAACCAAGGCCCGGGGATCAAGGACATCCGATGCAACACTATGACGCTGTGTGGCGCCTGTGATACTCTCCTGTTCTCAGCACTATTTGACTCGTGCCATAGAGAGAGAGAGAGAGGGAGAGAACGAGGGTGAGATGGGCAGCCGGGGGCTGGACATGAGCAGCGAGAGGAGATGAGGGGCAGGAGGGGTCAGTTGAGGCACGAACCACTCGAGGAAGTTGCTAGCCTGAGGGGAGGCCAGGCAAAAGGGGACCGGGTTCTTGAGGAACCGCCGGAACTCATTTTGCAGATGGGTGACAGCCATGTGCGAGGACATTCTGGCAACAGCGGGGGAACAGGCAGGACCGAGGGGCTGCAGAGCGCACGGGCAGCGCGGCAGCAGATTCACAAAACTGGCGGCAGGAGGGAGGGGGAGAGGGGGGACTACACAGTGCAAAGGACCCGTGGGCGCAGCAGGGGAAAGAGGGAGCGCGGAGGAGGACAGGGGAAACCAGCGGGAATGGGAGCCAGGAAGGAGGGGAGGGGAGGGGGGAAGGGGGAAGAGGAGGCTCCTGGGGCGGGGGGGAGGTGATTTGGCCGGCCGAGGGGGCGGGTCCGAACCTGGGCAACTTTAAGTGTATGCCGAAGTCAGCCGGGGGTCGGCTGGGCCCGGGGGGGGGGGGGCGGGAAGATCAAACGGATGGCCGTGTGCTATGCGCGGGCCCTGTGCAGACGTTTAGGGGAATCGGGAGCCGGGGGGGGGGGGGCCGCCAGGGGGCACCACGGGGCGGGGCGTCCGGGCGCGCACACATGCACACACGTACGCACGCGCGCACGCACGCACGCACACATACACATACACATACACACACCCACACACCCACACACCCACACACCCACACTCACACACACACACACACACACACACACACATGTATTCCTACATTCATACATCTGAATCATGATCGGCCCCTTGCGAGTGTCGCCCACACCCA